GCCAACCTGAGTTTGACCTCCGGATCCTACGTGGAAAGAAAACCAATTCCATAAAATTGTCTTCTGACCTCTAGACAGGAATGTGCACCTGTATATAAACAACCTGCACTAATACACAAGCAATCTTTTTTTAAAGCCCACTTTAAACTCAGCTTACCTACCTATGAAGTGGGAATACTAAGAATTAAAAGGGGTAATTTCTAAAAGGCATTTTAAAGGCACAATGCCTGAGGGGGAAAATGTGAAGAAATAATTGAAATGGAGGGAGATGCTGCTGTGACAATCACTACTGTTACAGTATACAATGACACAAAATAAATGCCAATAAATTCTTTTTCTTCCTCAGAAGGTATGTCTTAATGCAGGCAATTACACAGCCCCAACTCACTAAGTTACGTTCTTTCATCTTCCAACAGTTTTGTACAGAAGGAACTTAAAGAATTAAATGTATGTTAATTTCACAAACACATTTAATATATTTAACCTCTAAATTAAGAGGCATATTTATTCAGCCAAGAAATTTTTCAATAGTAATGTCACAAACAGAAAAAAAAGATCACTGAATTATGAGGATTCACATAAAAATGAAAGTATATTACCTTAATAACTACCCATCTATAGCTTTTTTATTGAACTAATACCATTAACTTATTCTCTATAACCAATCATCTTTCACTTAGGAAAAAAAGTGACTTACCATATACATAAAATAATTCAAATTTTATACCACAACTGAGTTTCCTGAGTATAAAGTGCTACATCCTTGCCTAAATCAGGCACACAATATGAACTCAGTGATAGTGTTAGTGAAATTTAACACTTCATTATTCTACATTTCTTTCAAATAACAAAAAAGACCTACATAGTCTTCTAACACAGGACTTACATAAGTAAGTCTTAAAACCTAGGCCAGCAAGATGGTTCAGTGAGTAGAAGCACTTGACACACACAAGCCTGACAACTTGAGATCAATCCCCAGAACCCAAGTTACCTTCTGACCTCCATACAGCAATCTTCTCGTGTATATACAACTCGAGTGTGGCGCACGCGCGCGCACACACACAGACACACACACACACACACACACACACACACACACACACACACACACGTCCGTCGGCACACAAAATTAAAGCAGACCCCTTGACTTGATGCCCTTCTAATCAGAATGGTGGCAGTGGAATGTAGCCCGTGGTAAATGGCTTACCCAGCACACATGAGGCTCTGGATTCAAGACCCAGCACTACACTGAAAATCAGAACTAAGTCAAACACGTGTCCACTCAATGCCTCAGTTTAATTTTAAAAAAAGAAAGAAAAGAAAAAGAGGTAAGTTAAACCAGGATGCATATTACTGTACTCAAAGCAACATTTAACTCTTTACTCACCCTCAAAGAAAAATCATTCAACTAAAAGACTGTAACTTCCTCTTCCTTTTGTGTATTTCCTTATTTATTTTTAATTCCTGCAACAATCTCAAGTAGGCCCGCATTACTCTTGAACTACTATGTAGCTGAAGCTGGCCTTGAACTTTTCCTCCTGCCTCGGCTTCCCAAGAGCTGCGATTACCCTGTGAGAACACATATGCACGTATATTTTTAAAGCTTTAGATTTATTTTATCCTAGGACCCACAGAGGTAAGAAGAGGTCATCAGCCAGGACTTCCAACCACTGAGGCAACTCTCTGACTTTTTTTTTTTTGGAATCGGATTCATAAAGGGCCAGACTGGCCTCCAACTTGCTCTGTAGCCCAGATCGCCCAGGCTGACTTTGAATTTCTGATCTTTCTGCTTCTACCTCCCAAGTTCTGGGATTACAGGTGCGTGCCACCACTCCTGACCTTTTGTTCTTTTAAACATTCCAGAAGCCATTTACTGTAATAGTGTTATCAGAGGCGGTCATAATTGTTTGCCCAGGAAAGCGCACTGACGGCAAGAAGAACAAGCTCCAAGGGAAGGTCCGGAACAGTCACCAACATATTAGGGCATCTGAGGCATCAGCAGGAGTGCCTGCCCTCTGTTTAAAAGGCTCTCCTCTGACCTGGTCATGTAGACATTCAGATCTTTCTCTCTCCCTGGCAATCCCTTTTACAGGTAGATGACCCCAACCAACACTTACATGTGCCAGCACATGCCTTGTAAGCAGCCCAAACTCAGTGTGTATAAAACTAAGCTTACCTCAGCCTTCCTGTGTCCCTGTGTCATGTAAATGATATCACTCAACCACACTCAACCACACAAAATAAGATCTACTTTTCCCCTCACCATCACTCTCTCTTCCAAGAACAAAGCAGTCTGAAAGAAAGATCTAACCATTTTCTCTCCAGCACCACAAATATCTACCATGCCTCCATTACCACTGTCTCTGACCTACACCAACAGTCTCTATCTGCTGCCCATGACTTCTAATGCCCAGCATAAACCCACCTACTCCAAACAATACAATACAGACGATCCCACTCTGTGTCTACCAGAGTATCCTAGATTTTCACAATTTGAAGATCCCTCCATCCATTGATCTTGGAACCATCTAAAGTCAACTGACTTTCAAGGCTATTCCTGTTCTGGCTGCAATCTCTAAGTCTATAATGAAAACAGAGTGACCTGTTGCATTCCATCACTCTTGGGTGAATGTTCAAAATTCTAAATTCACTTCCTACCTCTACTTGGAATGGCACAGACCCCTCCCTCCAGTCTTGCTCTCTCTGCTCTGGTCACTCTCTCCAACCTGTCATGGTACCACTCATTCTCCATCTGGGCCCTTCAACATCAGCCCTCAGGAACATCTCAACAGAAAGATGAATCTTAGTCTCACTTTGAACCAAGTTAGCTTCTGTTGCTGTTTCACCTCCACAGACATGCAAAATTACAACAGACTGATTACTGGATTTAAAATAAAGTTAAAGAACTTTTTTTTTGGTTTTTCGAGATAGGGTTTCTCTGTGTAGCTTTGTGTCTTTCCTGGATCTCACTCTCTAGACCAGGCTGGCCTTGAACTCACAAAGATCCGCCTGCCTCTGCCTCCCGAGTGCTGGGATTAAAGGCGTGAGCCACCACCGCCCGGCTAGTTAAATAACTTTTAAGAATCATTTATTTCAGACAGGCGGTGGTGGTGCATGTCTTTAATCCTAGCATTCGGGAGGCAGAGGCAGGTGGATCTAGAGTTCGAGGCTAGCCTGGTCTACAAAGAGAGTTCCAGGACAGGCAAGGCTACACAGAGAAACCCTGTCTCAGTGGGGGGAAAAAAAGAATTATTTTTATTTTGTGTATAAGTGTTTTGCCTGCATGTGTGCCTGGTGCACTTGGAGGTCAGAAGGGGTCAGATTCCCCCGGAACTAGAGTTACATATTGTCATGAACCACTGTGTGAATGCTGGGAACCAAACCCAGGTCCTCTGCAAGAGCAACAAGTGCTCTTAACTACTGAGCCATCACTCCAGCTCCATTACGGTATTTTTATCCCCAAACTAGAAGTTCCCCAAGAACAACATTGGATCTGTCTTGCTTACTGTTACATCTCACAGCCTAAAAAAGAAGCACTTACTTATTATTATGTGCAGATTAACAAGATTCATAAATCACAATATTCTAAACTGTAAGACCAGCTCACAAAATACTGACCCCGAAGTTACTTGGTTTCTCCATTCATAAAACTGAAGAGCTTATCTTGTCACTGTTCTGAGTCCCCTAGAAGATCTGACATTATCAATCAATAACTTAACATTCCAAACTTCTCCCTCACAACTCCCTTTACAGGGGCACCAGCAAAACTCCCTCTTCTGGCCTCCACCACTTTGTCTGCATCTTTCTTTCTAACTGGAAATCTTTTCCCCAGCTGCACATCTGCAAATTCTACTTATGCTCAAAGGCCCAAATTCAATGTCACTTCCTCCTCTATATCTTCACTGCTTACTCCTAGTCAGTCACACACTCTCTGCCCCTTCATTTCCAGAGGTGCTCCTGTGCCCCTTCCGGGTCTCAGATCAAACATCTAAGCTGGTCAGAATCCTGGAAGACCACCTGTTTGTATTTTGTTGATAGCTACTATCTGAAATCACCTTCGTCATTCCCTTAGCCTATTTACTTGTCAACTGCCTGTCATCCCTCACTAGAACATAAGATCAATTGGAGCAAGAGCCCTATTTGTCATGTTCACCACATCCTCACTCTCCCATGTCAAACGGGGAACAGTCAACAAATATCTGCCAAAGATATGGGTGACCCTGTAGTTCTTATAACCTGGGATTCTGTGTACCTACACTTCCCCTTGCTGTATTCCTAACTTCTTGTGGACCACACCAAACTCTGGCTAATCGACCTACTTGTGTGCATTATCCAGAAATCCTTTCACAACAGAAGCAAGTCACAGATAAATGCTAATTAGTTAATAAGTGATCTCTTCGAGAGGTTCTGCCTCAAACCAGGCCAACTCGTAACTGCATGTGATGGAGAATCCAGGGCTAACAGGAATCTCCTCTCTAGACAGTCCGTTCCAATATGCCCCCAACAGTGAGGACCCAAAAACTAGTTTCCTCACTTTCCTTTGAATGACAATCACTGGTACTTCTATCCTAAAATCTCACAATCCAACCCTACCCTTCTATTTCCATCCAACGCGTCACTTCCATGGCTGTGCTTCTTCGAGGTACTTACATCTCCAATCTCTTGGGATGATCAAAGGTAGTGCTGAAGAACTGGCTCACTCACCTTTTCCTTGATACCTCGTTTATCTTAAACAGACCCGTTTTCGGGGCCGGCTTTTATACTCTTCAAGACCCAAATCTAACCCACAGCAACAAATGCCTCCAGAGTGTTCCCATTCCTTCTCAGCTTTCCACCACAGGAAGACCCCAAGGCCACAAATGAACATTCCTCCCAGGAGGCAAGCGACCATCAGACACAGTGGGGCAAGCCCTACCCTACCGATTTCATGTCCCGCACCTGCCTGGGGCCTGGAACGTCTGGCTGGGCCTGCACCCCCCCCCCCAGCCCCCCGCACTCACCTGAAGCGGCCCCCGCAGTGCTGGCATTGCTCGCCCACCCAGCCCGCGGGGCAGACGCACTGGCCAGTGCCAGGGTTGCAGCGGCCGCCGTTGACACACGGCCGGTCACATTCCTTGGCCTCGGCTGCGGCCGAGCCTGACACCGCCGCCGCCACCGCCGCGGCCTCGGCCTCCCGGGGCAGCGGCAGCAGCAGTAGCGAAAAGAGCAGCGGCAGCAGCAGCGGCGAGGGCAGCGCCCGCGACAGCACCCACGGGAGACACAACCCGGCGCGCGGCCCCGGCCTCCAGGCCCCAGTCGCGGCGCAGAGTCGGTGCTGCTCGACCTTGCTGCCCGCGGGCGCCGCTGTCGCCGCCGTGCTCCCCCTCAGCAGCGCCTCAGTCGCCGCCGCCGCCGCCGCCGCCGCCACCATCTTCCTGGGGCTGAGCCGGCGCCCAGCGAACACATACACACCCCGCACGCCGGCTCCGCTTCGCCTGGCCGTGCTGGGCGGGGCCGGGAGACGGTGGCCGGGCCGGTCCATACCCAGGGCGGGGCTCTGGCGGCGCGGCGGGCGGGGGCGGGGCTGGCGCGCGGGGGTCGGGGGGGGCGGGGCCAGGGCCGCGGTCCTCCCGCTTGTGCAGTGGCAGAACTGGATCTGTCCCAGGATCTTGGAGCGGCTGAACACCTCCCGGGCCGCGGAGGCTCCTTGCTTTTCACATCGCGCCACCGCGAGATAACCAGTGCTTCCCTCCCGCGGCTGCCTGGCTCTGCTAGACAAGGTGACTGCGGTAAGTGTTACCCTTTGGACGCCTCCTGCCCATCAGCCCGTTGCCCCAACAACATCTTGGTGAGAGACAGGGCCAAAAAGGCTGCCTAAAGGTGTGGTTGTGGTGTGCTAGCTGCGACCCTGCAGAAGTAGTACTGCATTCGAGTTTCTGAAATAGGGATAACGAAATGGCACGTGTGTTAAGAACTTGGCATTTGAATAAATGTGTAACAGACGGAATGCACACACATCCAGGCCTCCCTTGATAGCAGATTGAACCGGTGGCAAACCAGGTCTCTGTACACCTTAATAATACGGGAGAAGTTTGAAGTTGTCTTGTACCCCACGACGTACTCATATTCTCTGAAGAAAGAACAGCCCAGAATTACCTGAAGCACTTTCAGTTTGCCTATCAGCTCCAGAGCCCTTCTTGCTAACTTCAGGGCCTCTCCCTCTCCCAATGATGCATGCTTCCCAACAGCATAACCTTGTATGGTCCTCTACCCTGGAATCCACACCCGACCCTTGACTCCATTGAGCCAGACAAGAATGTGGAGAAGACATACTGTATCAGTTCCAGCTCTAACCTTAACTTTTTGTTGTTTGTTAGTTTTTGGGTTTCTGTTTTCCTGAGATGCTCCTGCTCTTCCACCTTGGAAAGATTCATGCAGAGGCCACATGGAGAGGAAAGACCCCAGGACATGAACCTGGTGAGCCCTTCCTAATTGGAAGGTCAGTCATTGCGTGAAGAAGCCGTCTGGGGTGTTTTAGCCATCTGTGTTGTTCCACTGTATGAGTCAGGGTTCTCTAAAGGAACAGAACTGATAGAATGAATATATATGCATATATAAATATATATAACATATATATTATATATATATGAGATTTGTTAGGTTGGCTTACAGGATGCAGTCCAAGTAGTCCAACAACGGCTGTCTCACACTAGAAAGGATGAGAGTCTGGTAGTTGCTCCATCCACAAGGCTGGACTCAGCAGTCCCAGTTTGCTGCTGGATTCCTAGAGGATTCCTTGAGAGCTGCTGATCTTCAGTCTACACTGGAATTCTAAAGAAGACAGTTCTAATATTGGTGAGTTAATGCCACAGAAACAGGATAGATGAACTTGCCACCGAGAGTAAGGGTAAGCAGGCAAAAGGAAAGTTTCCTTCTTCTTTGTCCTGTTATCTCAGCTGCCATGAGGAGGTGCTGCCCAGATTTAGGGTGAGTCTTTTTGCTTCCAATAATCTGATTAAGACAGTTCTTCACAGATGGGTGGTAGTGGCATAGGCCTTTAATCCCAGTGCTCAGGAGGCAGAGGTAGATGGATCTCTGTGAGTTCAAGTCCAGCATGGTCTAAAGAGTGAGTTCCTAGACAGTGAGGGCTACACAAACAAATCCTGTCTTTAAAAAAAAAATGTTTTAGCTGATCCCAGATGCAGTCAAGTTGACAAGATTGTTCATCGTGTCTACATTATCTAAAATAGGAGCAAATCCAGCTGGGTGGTGGTGGGACATGGCTTTAATCCCAGCACTCGAGAGGCAGAGACAGGCAGGTATAGCTCTGAGTTCGAGGCCAGCCTGATCCTACACAGCAAGTTCCAGGACAACCAGGACTACACAGAGAAACCCTGCCTTGAAAAACAAAAATAAATAAATAAATAAATAAATAAATAAGGGACAAATCTTTCCTACCATTGCCTATTCCAGGGATAAACTCATTGCTGTTTTAGCCCTGCTTTAGAGAGGTTACTTAGAGCTTTGCCTCACAACTCTTGGACTATGCAGAGTGCATGCCTATGCAGATACTTCAGAATTTGGGCATCTGGTTCTGGGAAACAAAGAAAACCCCGAATGCACCTGTGAAACCTCTCTGATTAACCTCAGAGTACAGAATTCTAAGATTCTAGAACATGCTCCCATCACTGTGCCAGAGCCAAGCTCAGGTCCTGACCTTCCCCCCTCGTCCCCTGCAAGCCAGGTGGAGCTGAGCTAGACAACAGCCTCATCCCAGCCTCACTCCAGCCTCACTCCAGCCTCACTCCAGCCCTCCAAAAGCTCTAACACTGGAGTCTAGTTTTCAAGTTTGTTCATTTCCTTTTTTTTCCCCCCTTTCCTCTGTGGTGTCCTTCGTAAGGCTGTTTGGAAAGGGTTAGAAGCTGTGGCCTTGTTGGATAATGTGTGTTATTGGGGGGGGGGGGAGCTCTAATTTCCAAAAGCCCATGCCAGACCCAGTCTCATGCTCTCTCTACCTCTGCCTGTAGATCAGGATGTAAGTGCTTAGCTACTGCTCCAGTGCCATGTCTGCCTGCCTGCCACCATGCTTCTTGCCATGATGATAATGGACTCACCCTCTGAAACTGTAATTAAGCTCCAATTAAGTGCTTTCTTCTATAAGTTGTTTGGTCATGATGTTTCTTCACAGCAATAGAGCAGGCACTAAGACAGGGCCATTCTCACTCAAACCACCACATGATCTATGAGCAGTGCTTACACAGACGGGTTAATTAATGCCTCTGCCACCTGGGTTCTTAACTCTCCTGACACTGGATTAGTTTCCAGGAGAGCAGGTTGTTATACAGTGAGTTCAGCTTCCTTGGGTTTCTCTTGCTTCTCTCTGCATGAGCTCACTTGCCTACTTCTTTCCACTGTGGGTTGAAACGCCACAAGGTTCTCACTACATCATAGTCTTGGGCATCCCCAGAGGCCAAAAATCAACCTTTTCCTTATAATTTTCCTATTTCAGATATTGTTAATGGCAATAGAAAATAGACTAAGACAATTTCTCAAAAACTGGAGCCTGAAGCATCATTTGAAGAAATGGTTTATTGAGAGAATGCTATCATAAGAAGCACAGTAAAGGGAGAAAACTCAGGAAGGGGAGCTGAGCAAGGTTATGGTCTTATTGGAGCTGAGCTTCAGCCTGATCCCTTAGAGAACCTTGGAATGTGAACTGTGCTAGAGTTAAATCTACTTTGAAGTAATGGAGGGACAGCCTGCCCCTATCTCATTAAGGAGACAACACTAACAATAAGAACCAGTTAAGAAAATTTGGTAGGAGTGATAATAACATAGTTGTTGTATGTCTACTGTGAAGCAAGGCTTAATTGTTACCCTAGTAAGAGCTATCTGATTGGCAATCTGGCTTTTCCCAAGCATCACCAGACTGCTTTAGGCACTATTTAAAACATCAGTATATTTTAGTATTCCAAACATCACCTTATATTTTAGTTTATGTAAGACTGCTGATTCTCTGACTATAAATGTCATGATTTCACCCAACAGCTAACCAGTAGGTGCCATGTGGCCTGTGAAAGAGGCTGATCCTGAAAGCTTAGAAAAATGCACACTGGGAGGGTTCTAGATAGTAATGAGGCTCTGTTGGAAGCTCCATTGGGTTTCCCATATGAGGAATGAGTCCATTTAAAGATGTAAGGTTCCAGCTAGTGTTTAGTAGATGCTAAAGAAGCATTTCCAGCTGGGCAGTGGTGGCGCTCACCTTAAATCCCAGCACTTGGGAGGCAGAGGTAGGTGGATCTCCCTGAGTTCAAGGCCAGCCTGGTCTACATAGCAAGTTCCAGGACAGGCTCCAAAGCTACGCAGAGAAGCCTTGTCTGAGAGAGAGAGGGGAGAGAGAGAGAGAGAGAGAGAGAGAGAGAGAGAGAGAGAGAGAGAGAGAGAGAGAAAGAGAAACATTTTCAGAAGACCTTAGTCTTAGTCTGTGAACTTGGGGTCAGCCTCTGAGCTGTTAGCAGAGCTCCCACTGGACTACAAAAGTATAGGAAATGGCCTTTAGATATACTCAAGGGCTCACTTGGTTTTCAGATTATCAATTTAAAGTCAGAGGATTTGCCATTTCCTTCTTTCTGTATTCATTTGTTTTGTGGTGCTAGGAACTAAACCCAGGATCTTGGGTATGCTGCATAAGCAGCCTGCCATTGAGGTACAGCCCAAGTATAGAGTTGAAATTTCTATTGGATGAGCAGGACTCATGCCCCTCCTCCAAATCGCTACAATACAGAACAAGGGGTTTCTCCTGCATATACAAGAGACATCACAAAAACAGCAACATTGTTAAAGGAGAGGTAGTTTACTAAGTATGTCCATAGAGTGGAATATAATATCAGGAGTCCCCAGTCTTTTCGTCATCTTGGTGATGTGGGGGGGACCCCTTGGGTGTCCAGACAAGGAAGTGAACTGTGAAGAGATGAGAATGAAAACTCAGTTCAGATGGACTTCATCAACCTGCATCAAGACTTCAGGGAGTCTGATGGCAGGTGGTTTTCCACAACAGATTTAAACACTGTATAATGTGCACCTGGTGTAATACACTCCCTGGTGCACATGGAGGCATAATTACATCAAAACTCAACTCAGGGTCTGTCATTTCTTCCAAGAAGATAGCTTCTAGAGATAAGCTACCTATACTAGCTTAAGAGCCTAGGGAAAGCTGACCTGGTTGTAATCACACAGATAGGGTAGAGGTCATTTGGGCTATAAGCCATCTCTGGTCCTGGTTGTGAGAGCTTTGGGGAGCCCCAGGCTGTAAGAGTCATTTAGATTACTAGCCACCTCCAGTCCTGGTTGTAGGAGCTTGATATGGCCTGGCCCAACAGGTAACACAGATCACCAGGCTATTAATCACTTCTAATTCCCAGCTTTCTGGATGGAAGAACAGGTTTTTACATCTTTCCCATTGGAAAGACATCCTGTGTGCTTAACATTCCTGGTTACTCTGGAGATCTGTGGAGCAAGGACCTTCTTGCTGTGTGCTTCCCAACACCTGTGGAGGCCTTACTGGCTATAAGAGAGGTCTTCAGAACCAAAGAGAAAACATGGCTCTTCTTTTTTTTTTTTGTTGTTGTTTTTTTTTTTTTTTTTTTCTTTTTCGAGACAGGGTTTCTCTGTGTAGCTTTGCGTCTTTCCTGGAACTCACTTGGTAGTCCAGGCTGGCCTCGAACTCACAGAGATCCACCTGGCTCTGCCTCCCGAGTGCTGGGATTAAAGGCGTGCGCCACCACCGCCCGGCCAACATGGCTCTTCTTAAAGTGAAGGAGTTCATGTTCAAGATGAACCTGAATTCTAATTAGGACAGATGCATATGTATATAAAGCAAAAAAAAAAAAAAAAAAAAACCAGGAGAAGGAGGAAGAGGAAGAAGAAGGAGGAGGAGGAAGAAGAAGAAGAAAGAAGGGGAAGGAAGGAGAAGAAGAAGAAACTCAGACTCAGTGACTCCTGGAGGAGAATCAAACAAAATCAGAGTAATCTGGGGAAAGGAAATTCAGGCCCCCACAGGCTCATACATTTGGATGTTTGGTTCAATTGGTAGAGTATTTAAGAAGGATTAGGAGGTGAGGCCTTGTTGAAGGAAGTGTGTCACTGGGGGTGGACTTTGAGGTTTTAAAAGCCCACATCAGGCCCAGTCTCTGTCTCTGCCTGCAACTTTCCTGTCAGGTGTAATAAGGTCTTAGATATGACTCCAGGAACATGCCTTCCTGACTGCTGCCACACTCCCTGCCATGATATTCAAGGACTTGCCCTCTAAAACTGTAAGCCAGCCCCCAATTAAATACTTTCTTTTATAAGCCACCTCAGTCATGGTATCCTTTCACAAACAGAACAGTAACTAAGATGAGGCCCATGGAGTCAGTGCTAAATTCCAAAGCAACCTGCCTGCAAAGGCCACTGGACACAAAATCCATGTGATCCTACACTGCTCATGGATTTAAATTAATGAAAATATTTTACAAAGTCAATTTGTAAAATAAGAAAGAAAAGAAGTTGTCCTTGGACAAGAGCCCACTAGAATGGCTCAACTACAAATAACTTATACAGTGTGCTTTTTAAAACTCTGTACTAGGCCGGGCGGTGGTGGCGCACGCCTTTAATCCCAGCACTCGGGAGGCAGAGCCAGGCGGATCTCTGTGAGTTTGAGGCCAGCCTGGGCTACCAAGTGAGTTCCAGGAAAGGCGCAAAGCTACACAGAGAAACCCTGTCTCGAAAAACCAAAAAAAAAAAAAAAACTCTGTACTAAAGTATAGCATAAATATAACAAAGTAAAGCACTCATACACATACAACCATGAAAACCCCCCAAGTAAACATACCCAAATAACCAGAACTCAGATAAGGAATCAGGACATTATCAGGACCCCTCCAGCCTGCTTCCTGTCACGACCCCACAAGGGACCCACTCTTCTGACTTCCTACAGCATAGATTCACTTTACCATGTTGTTGTTGTTTTTACTCTGTATAAGCAGAATTCTACATAATGCACTTATGCCTTGCTTCTTTCATTATAATGCTCACCATTATATTTGAGATATCCAGCCATATTCTTTTATTTAGCAGGTCAATTATTTCTTTGTCATATTCTTTTGTGTGAGAATATATACAATTTTATGACTAATTGTTAATTTATTCTCTTGCTGGTAGACAGTTGGAAAGTTTCTAGTTTGAGTCTGGGAATTTGAGTGTGTTTGGTTTTTGCTTTTTCAAGACAAGGTCTTTCTCTGTGGCCCAGGCTGGCCTCAAACTTGTGGTGATCCTCTTCCTCAGCCTCCCAAGTTCTGGGTTAGAGACATGAGCCCCTGTAGCCAGCTATTACAAAACTCTGCCTTTTTTTTTCAGTAATGGAGATTAAACATAGTACTTTGTACATAGTAGGTGAGTGCCAAGTGTTCCACTGAGTTCCATCACATGCCCTCTTTCAGTCTAGGAATTTAACTCAGGTGTCTTAGTTAGTGTTCTATTGTTGTGAAGAGACACCATGACCAAGGCAACTACTATAAAGGAAAATACTTAATTGGGGGGGGGGGAGTTGCTTACACTTTCAGAGGGTCAGTTTGTTGTAGAATATTATTTTAAGGTGTGTTACTTTTGTTTATGTTGCATTTGTTTAACTCTGTGGAGCTGTGTTATTGTGCCTGCCTAAAGCACCTGATGGTCTAATAAAGAGCTGAACGGCCAATAGTGAGGCAGGAGGAAGGATAGATGGGCTGGCAGACAGAGAGGATAAAAAGAAGAAGAAATCTGGGAGGAAAAGAAAAGAGCAAGAGAACAAGGAGAGGAGGACACCAGGGGCCAGCCACCCAGCCAGCCATAGAGTAAGAAAGAAAAATATACAGAAATAGAAAAAGGTAAAAACCCAGAGGCAAAAGGTAGGTGGGTTAATTTAGGTTAAGAAAAGCTGACAAGAAACAAGCCAAGCTAAGGCCTGGCATTTATAATTAAGAATAAGCCTTCCTGTGTGATTTATTGGGGAGCTGGGTGGCGGGCCCCCAAAAGACAAAGATCCAAAGAACAAAGAGTAAAAGAGCAAAAATAACCAACAACATTTTGGCATACCAGTGTGGGCCGAATTTCCATGTAGGTCCTGAGAAAGCTGAAAAAAAAAAGAAAGAAAGAAAAAAGACACAGCTCCTTTAAGAGGTGCTGCTGTTCAGCTCTCAGCTCTAAATAAAAATGGCAAGCTAAGTAAAAGCCGCTTGTGGCAGTGCAGGTGCTGGCATCCATATCTAGGAAAATTTAATGCAGTTCTCGATCATGCACTTCTGATCGCGCTGTGAGCTTTAAGCTTGCTTGGCTTTCCCAAGCCAAGAAGCCAGCAAAGATGTATGGAGGTCTTAGCCTCACCGCTTAGCCATTTTTTGCTCATGCAGACAAAAAAGGCTAAAAGATACACAATAAAAGAGGTCCAGATGGAAGAACTTCTAAATAGGTTCCAGTGTTTAACAAAGGAAAAGAAAAGAAAAGGAAAGAAAAGTATAGACAGTCATGAAAGGAAATAAATAGATTAAAAATAACAAGTAAAATCTTTAAAGAGACAGTAAAAGAAAAAAAAAAGCCCTGCAGAGATGGGAAATACACAGAGAGTCTGAATCCTGTATAGTATTGTGTTGATTTTGAATTTTTTTGATGACTGATAGGCAAGAGATAGCTGCTGGGAGATATGGGATTTGTGAGCAGGACTGCAGGATTGAGCCAACCTAGATACTTTAGGGCTACCTTAACTTTAAAATGGAAGTCAAAAAATATATTTGTCAAATGGAAATCAAAAATGCTTTGGAGAGGGCCGGGCGGTGGTGGCGCACGCCTTTAATCCCAGCACTCGGGAGGCAGAGCCAGGCGGATCTCTGTGAGTTCGAGGCCAGCCTGGACTACCAAGTGAGTTCCAGGAAAGGCGCAAAGCTACACAGAGAAACCCTGTCTCGAAAAACCAAAAAAAAAAAAAAAAATGCTTTGGAGAAGAGGTTTTGCTTTTGTTTCCAAGGAAACAAAAGGCTATGGATTCTTTCCAGGTTAATGTGGATCAGGTTTGATTTAAGGAGACCTCTTGAGTCTTGGCAGGTAATATCTATCAACAAAGCTTATATTTGGTCTTCCCAGGACTTGGCCATTATCTCAAATTTTCTCAGGGACCCTAAAGATACTTCATCCACAGACAGCAGGAAACATTTTGGAGAACACGACATCCACATTCCCAAGAGTTGGGTTGTGGAAGTCTGTTGGTTATTTGATAGGTTATTGATGTTTGTTATCATTTAGGGGAATATAGTATATTGATACAAATTTAAAGTTATTTTTGTTAACACTGTATATATGCTTCTATTCTTGTTTAAAGGATTTTTGTATACTCATACAAGTTTAAGGTTATTTTTGTTACAGCATAATGTATATATGTTTCTACTCTTGTT